GTGATGCAGGTCTCAGACGTTTACCACTTCGGTGAAACCCACGAGCAGGGGTATGGTGCTGACAAGCCTACAAACATAATCGGGTCAAACCGGGATTTGAACCCACAATCATAGGTTTCTGGCATGCCCAAGGGACGCAACTCTGCACAGCGAATCGCGGCGCCATAGACGACTCGGCCACCCGTGCCACCCCCCCAGTCTTGGAGCGATGGAAGAAAACTCATAGTGCATGCACCAGGCATAATAAGAGTTCATTCTCGACTTCCACTCCCACGATGGACGATAATGGTGAGATAGTGAAAGACCTATTAGGTTGTCCTGGTAGCTATAAAATCCCAGCATACCAAACTAAAAAGAACACACGAGTGATATTGAGCTCATGAATTTCACTCTTGCAAAGAGTGCCAAGAGAAAAGTTGTCTCCTTCGTGAGGTTGAAAAATGATGCTGCATGGAGAGGCTTGAACAGAGTTTTGCGCAAACATCAAAGTACCAGATTCCAATCCCATGCTTGAGCCAAAATTAGGCCTTCGGATCCTCAAGCCTAAATGAGCGTAATAAAGCTTTCGGTTCCAGAATCTTGGTCATTTTACGACGATTCTCCAGTACTGCTGACACTGAATTCAAAGCTACCAAATATGTAGTGATGGTGCTACCTTTCAAGTGTCGTTTGGTATGCAAGTGTAGGACATACTCAGCCAAGAATTAAGGTGAGGCTTTTATGGGATTTTGCACAATAGGTCTCAAATGATAACAACTCATCATAAAGGCCTCGAGTCTTAGGTCTATGTGCCATAACAATGGCCTTAGCCGCTTGTGCTGAATAGCATTTCTTGCCTAGGGCTCTTTATAAGTGAACCAGACGTGTAGATGAAACCTGCCTGGTGTGGGGTGTGGTCGCCTACTGTATAGATGCACTAGTAGGTTGGGCCACCCCAGCAGAGGTAGTTGATCGCTTCCTGCAAGGTTTCTTAGGTCCACGAACCACCCTCTCGCCGGTCACCAAAATCCGAGCAAGGCTCCTGGCTGCCCTTTTTTGTTCACATTGAGAGGAAGTACTGGGGGTGGTAGGTTGGATGGTTGGTTGTTTCACACAACACTCAGCAATATTCCAGCTATAGGACAGCGATTTGTAAATAATCGAGTCTGGACCAGTCAATCAAGTGATTAATATCATGAGCATCGATCAATGTAATTGGGATAGTGAGTGAGTGAGTGAGTTGGGTTTAATGATGCTTTTAACAGTATTGCAGGTCGCAGAAGTTTACCACTTCTGTGAAACGCACGAGCACGGGTATGGTGCTGACAAACCTACAAACATAATCGGGGTTAACCGGGATTCGAACCCACAATCATAGGTTTCTGGCGTGCCCAAGGGATGCAACCCTGCACATCGAATCGCGGCACCTTTTACGACTAGGCCACCCATGCCCCCTGTAATTGGGATACGATGACATGCATCAACCAAGCCTGACTACCCGATCCTGTTTGTCGCCTTTTACGGCAAGCATGGGTTGCTGAAGACATTTTCTACCCCAGATGTTCCATATCTACTGGGGGTTGAAAAGCTTACGCTCTTAACCCCTCTCAATGGATGCTTTGTGCATCGTCTGCCAAGGCCTGCGAATCCGGAATTGGAGCAACGTACATTCAGATCTGATTATTTTGGAATGTGGCAAATAGGTCGAGGATGAGTTCACCTTGACTCTGACATATGAATGCCTCTGGGTAGAGCTTCCACTCTGAGGGTGCCACTCTGTCAGCACATTCCGAAAACCGTGTATGTATGACCAGGAAGCGCAGACCCAGTCGATCCACCAGGTTGAAAAACCTGAACGTCTGTTTGAGCAGAGTGTGAGTGGACCACTGATTCCGCAGGCATCAGACCACCATGATGTTTTTGGTGGATATGGCGAGTAGTGGTGTAACGATACGGCGATACAGTATTGTATCCCGATGCACAGCCCACGATACGATGCATCGATTTGGAAAGCATGTATCGCGATACATATGATATTTTCATAACACAGTTTTACCTACCGTATTTTTTTGAGTATAGTGCGCACTTTTTTTTCCAAAAACACAGCTGTGTAGAAGGGGTTGCGCATTATACACCAATTAATGAGTTTTGATGTTTTTCCCCCATGGAAAGACATTACCGTGAGCACGTAACACCGGAAATACCATGTCAACAAATCCATACTGAAGTTCGCAAATTATTCATGTAATTACACTGTCTGGCTATAAAAAAAAAGTGTTCTTTGAATATCTTGACTCATGTTTGTAACTTATTTCATTAATTTTATTCAAAATTCCTTTTAATATTGTTTTAATTAATTTCGGCGAAATCGTGTGTGAAGCGATCGGAAGATCGCACAACTCACCGTTATTAACAGCAACCACGGTCAGATTTCCGCTATTGACGCCTTGAAAGGAATTTTAGTTGACAGAGAATGGATACATATATCATAAATGCCATACTTTGATTCGTTAAAAGTCAGATTTGTTTTTGTTTGACGATGATTCTATGTCAACACGTAATTCTCGCGATCATGTGCACTGGAGCCTTGACGGTGACTGGTCAGACTGGTTCCATGTAAAAAATAATACCCGACAATAGCGATCAGCTGCTTCGCTTAGGGTTATTATTATTTTAAATATGTTTAGTAAAAGTTACATCAAAATTAACAATATACTGGAATATATTATTCCTGATAAAAAAATAGTTTCAGATACAACTTTTGCCGATCCTTGCATTAAAATACTGTAAAGTTATACCATTGGGTGTGTCTTGACTGAATCACCGGTAGATTCCAAGAAAACGTGTGTACATGTACAGCTGATTGCTTTGTCCGGCTTAGTTTACGAGAAAATACACAAGGTAATCTTAATCCCTGGATATAAAACAATGCCTGGCTGAACAAGAAATACAATTTAAACGGTATATCAACATGTCTGGTGATTTTTTATCTCAAATTTCGAATTTGTACTGACGAAGTTTCTCATCACCCGTTCGTTTGCCGGACTTCGCTGAAGGGGTACGGTGTAATTTTTTTCTGCGCATAATATTCAAATTTCTTTTTTTCCCAAAATATTGAACTCGCTAGAGTGGCGTGCGCATTATACTCAAGAAAATACATGAAATACATGGGCGGATACAGCTTTTTTCGAAAAGGGGGGGTGCACAATTAAGATCTCTTTATTGTCTTTGGTGGTAATTTATACAGAAATAAAGATTTTTTTCGAAATAAAAAAAAAAGGGTGGGGGGGGGAAGATGCGCCCATGAAATACGTTTAACAGTTTCAAAGCCAGTTTGTTGTTTCAGTAAAACATACTGTATTGCTGACAATTTGCTATAACAGTAAATAAACACCTTATTATATCTTCTTTAACTGTACTTGTCACATCTTTTAGATAGCAGAAGGACATCAATTTGGCTTAGCTTGTACCAGTAAACACTGTATCGTGATACGTATCGTATCGCGACCCCTGTATCGCGATACGTATCGTATCGCGACCCTCCCGTTTCGTTACACCTCTAATGGCGAGTTGGGTGTTTTGAAGGTGCTCCTGCCAATGTGTTCACCAATCAGTACTATGAGCGCCTCCAACTCTAGGTTGTTGATGTGCCATGTGTACTGGACCATAGCACTGACGCTGTCTGGTCCTCTAGATGCACACGCCATCCCTGCAAATAGGTGTGACACTAGGGATAGCTCTGTTAAGGAGACACCGCCTAAGACGTTCAACTGTACCGAACAACAATTGACGTGAGTCCTGTGATGGGCCAGTAGAGCGATGATCCTGCTGTCTGATATGAGGAGCCAGGAACTGTTGGATCAGGTGTAATTGCAACCGACCCCTGATCGTCAAGTCCTGAGCTGATGTTAGCAGTCCCAGAAGCACTTCTTGCTATTGGTGTCAGTTGGGTGAAGTGTGATGGGCTGCTGCAGGGCGGGGTACAGATGACATAAGATTATTATCCATCTGTCCCTTGGCACTGATAAAAGGTCTAGATCGGTCTGAAATAACGTTCCCATTAATTGGAGTCACAAGGATGGGATTAGTTCCGACTTCGTCTTGTTGACTTTCCAACCTGGTTGATAAAGCAGGAATCCTTGTTACGGGTTAGGATTGCCACTACTGGATGATTCAGTATGCAGTCATCTACGTACAACTCGAACAGAATGTTCCTCAGGTGCAGATAGGTGGCTATTGGCTTGGTAAGGCGGTACAAATCCACTGAAATCGGTACTGACGACTAGTAGTGGATACCATTGAACTGGCATCTGGAATACAAAAACGCTCCGCACGTATATGTTTTAACCACAGTCCTGAGCTTCTTCAATGCCTTCATAACGAGAAGAAATTGTTTGCTTCTTCAGGAAAAGGTAAAAGAATTCTTGACTGACATTGGTGTGTGTCCGCCATAGCAATGAAAATCTAAACTGCAGCCAGGGGAAGGCGCCACCACTGAGCGGCTCCTGGGGCGCCATTAGGATTTAGAAGCCTTGGAATATAGCATGAGCCTGGGTAAGTGTATTCACCTGAAAGGCGCTACAGTTGTATGCTGATCGGCACGCACAAATGCCTTAACAAAGGGAGACGTATGAGCTTGTTGATCCATGGCTTGCATACAGGACTGCATCCACGTCGGGTCCATAAAAGAGCATTTGGAAGGCCCAGATAATAATTGGCCCAGAGTGTTGGATAGAGCAGTTGTAGCCACTAGGCCCATAGGCGCAACCAGGTTAGCTTTGGCAGGTTGCATAGAGATAGTGGCATTGCCGTCAGCGCATGCATCAAGGATGTGTCTTGAAGCGCAAACATTGAGACTGTTGTCTGCGTTGTCATCAGGGTAGATATGCCTAAAGGCGCTGATACAGTAGATGAGGATGAGGATCCCTGGTAGATTTTTTACCCCAGCAATTAGTGCAACACGCAAGCATAAAAAGCAAACCAAATTAAATTGAAATAGTAAACGAGAATGTTGTCCTTAATAAAGAGCAAAGCAAACAGATTTTATTTCCAATAAAGAAAGTTACATTGTAGTAAATTAACGTTTAACTCTATAGTTACCATACAACAGTTTAAAGGGCAAGTAATTAGTGCCAATTGTTAAACAAATACGCAAAGGTTACAGTATGTATGGCCTCCAATTATGGAGATCTAACCAAATTAAAGTTCACAATATTAAAAAAGTGGTAGGGCTGGCTAAAAAGACTGATAATCAGTTTTCATTGATGTGAAGAAATATAAATGATTAAGATATGAAAATTATGCCATTGATAATATCTTACAATCTATTGTGATGAAATGAAGTTTTAATTTACTGAAGCAGACTTGTTATGTCCATTGCCAAAGACAGAAAGCGTTTGATCTTGTTATATCTTAAATGTCCACAAAGTAATCAATGCATAAATGTGACACCACTCAAAAGTGAAGTGAACTATGTTGTTTTATCTTAAAGTTACTTCTCTGATACTTATTGATCATTGATCAATATAGTTTGTTAACGATTATCAATAGTGAAATATAACAATAGTATTACACTGGATAAAGTGCTAAAGGTATTTACACATAATGCTTATACATAATGTACCTAGCCAGCCATGAAATACAGAACAATATTCACGGTAGGGACCGTGACATGTTTAGCAGTTCAAAATGGTGGAACAGAATGACAAGTGAAAAACTGTGACAAACTGTCGCCTTCACTTGCGTAGGTGCATATAAGGTGCATATAAAATACACCAAACCGGACACCAACCGTCACAGGGGGAAAGATATGGGTTTTCAGAGTGTTGAAAGGCACAAGGACAGCAAACAGCAAAAACTGAGGTCTAACTAGCAGCACATGTGTTCTGTACCGTGACCAGCAATGATATGGACACATCAGTCATCTACCACTTCCAGTAGCAAGTGATTGGGGTCCTGCTTCTGAATGGAACAGCATTTTTTCTTTCTTCAGCACGATCAATCACAGCTTCACTACTGTGAAAGGAGTAATACAGGATAAGTTGATAAAATAAGACAAATGAACATTTCACCTTCTTGACAGTGACATGTTTTTATGGAGCAGTAATGTTACACCACCTACTCATGCACCAGTATAGAGTGAGAGAAAGTATATGTAGAGGAGACAAACAGGATACAAAATTAATGGTTTCTTTTGTTGTAGCTCTTGTACACAAAGCAGTGATCCTGCACTGTATGCTGCCCACAGCACACCAAGTAGCTGTAAAAATAGAAATAAAGTTGAATAGTTGTATTTACATTATATTACTATGAATGAGTGTTTTACAACAGAAAACAACATAACATCAGACTTTTGTTTTTCTTGTATTCACTTCTTTCATGATAATTATATTTAGTAAAATATAAATAATTTTATAGAGCAGTGGAACGTATTACCGATGTGGTAACGGGGAAACCCTATGCAAATGAGAAGATAAGTGTATTTGGTCAACAAGTTCTCTCAAATGTGTTTTCAGTCAACTCTATTACTACAATATGCAGTGTGACCATGTATTTTGTGTAGCGGGTTCATATTACGTCATGCAAACGTAAACCCGGAAGTTCTGCATTTACCGATGAAGGGTGGGTCAAGCCGATGACTTCGGTAAGCAATTACCGATAATATGAATTGAACTTTTTGAGTTATTAGTACCTGTGTGTGGTGCTAAATATATATTTATGAAATCATGACCGTGTAAGGCCCCAAAATAATGTTAATGTGGTAATGTGACCAGAAAGACATCGACAGATTATAGATTGATTAATAACTCCTTAGATTTAAACAGAAACACTTAGATATGCATTGGACACAATTGTTTTGTCTTAACTCATGTAATAAGAGAGTCTTACTTGTATTTTTAACAATGAGGTATATTGTGATTATTCCCAAAACATTTGTTCTTTAGCTACCTGAAATCTGTCCGCTCTGATATCATAGAACTAGTTAAATCCTAGATATTTTTTATATTTGTATACTTATCCTGCATTACTACTTAATGCATATTACTGCTTGTTTCTTGACAGAGAAAAGAGCTGTGCGAGGGTCTTTGCTTGAAGAAGTTGCTCCAACTAGCTGAGAGGCCAGCCCATCATGCAGCTCCCACGTGACCAAGGGAAGTGACGTCACGGATCCTCACATTACTCTAGTCACTTGATGAGAGAAGACCTGTTTTTTGTGGGTTTTTTTGCTGTAACATAAAACTGATTCAAACCCTCACGTGTTAGCTATCTGAGTTAATGTTGTTTTGTCTATGTGTTGTGCCTACGGTTGGTATTTTGTACATTCTATGTTTGATAAACATGTGCAAAACGTTAAAAGACACTTTCTGGCGTTTTCTCAAAAGAAAACATAAGGCCAGGTGTCTTGTTGCTCCAAGTATCCATCTTGAATATTTTGCGTAGCCAGCAGTTTGTGAACTGGTTTGCGTTCTACATTCTTTGAAGAAGTTGCTCCAACTAGCTGAGAGGCCAGCCCATCACGCAGCTCCCACGTGACCAAGGGAAGAGACATCACGGATCCTCACATTACTCTGTAGTCCGAAACATCGGAAGGCATCGTGGGGAGGTAGATCTGCCATGGGCGGGTCCCTTTAGACGCAGTAATGCAGGATAAGTATACAAATATAAAAAATATCTTGGATTTTACTAGATTTTTTACTTATCCTGCATTACTCCTTAATGCATCTTTATCTGACGGAACCGGAGGTGGGCATACCTTCAGATGTGGAGTTTCATCTGTTATTTCCAGACTCTGTTCCCTACCCAATCCTTGGCTATGTGGTCGGCATCGGGTGACCACTTCATGTGTGGGAAACTCCGTTTCCGTCAGCCCGTCTTCGGCTGTGGTCGGCCTGGATGACCATTACATGTGTCCTGGTACTGCGCAGCCTGAAAATAACACTCGGTTAGGTCGAGACTGGAGCACCGAGCCGTATGCAAATGAGGCATGAACCTTCTAGTCCAGGGCTTACGCCAGGGGAGGTCGAAAGGCTGGCTCTGGACTTGGAGGCATGGTCAATGACATGTAGTAGTGGTGACCTGCTGGCCCACTACTAACAGACCAAAGCGACTTCTCGCAGGTAGTGACTTTCGCTCGCGAGGTTGCAGATACTGGTACGAAGAGGCGTCGTTGTTGTCTACGGCGTTCCTTGGATCGTCGGATGTAGCAACAAAGCGCTCTAACCGGACATAGACGGAGCTCTTGTTCATCTTCCGTGCCCACAATCGATGAAAGAGGGGGGATGAGGAACGATCTATCGGGCTGGTCTAGGAGCCAATTTTTTTGCAATGAAGTCCTAGCACAGGCCCAGATGCACGGCTCTGTGTGCTCCCTGCTCAAAGCGGACCCGTGTGATGACTAGGGCGTGTAGCTCACTCACACGGGCTGCTGTGGAGAGCGCCAGTAGGAAGACCGTCTTTTTCATCAGGTTGTAGAATTACGACATTTCGAGTGGCTCAAAAGGCGCATCTCTCAGTGAGGTGAGAATGACGTTCAAGCCCCAAGCTGGTGTACGAGATTTCGCCTTTTGGTCTTCCAGCATGAATGAGCTGAGCAGAGCCTGTAGTCCGATCTTCCAGAACTGCCAGGACAGAGTTGAGTGCCACAAGGTAGGTCATGATGGTACTGCCCTTGAGCTGACGCTGAGTATGAACTCGGCCAGGAATTGAGGCGATGCAGATGTGGGGTCTAGGTGCTTGCCCCTACAAAGGCTCTCGAATGATTGCCACTTGTCATCATAGAGGCTCCTGGTGGTTGGGCGATGTGCCATCGGGATGGCCCTAGCCACTCTTGTTCAGTGCTCTCTGTAAATGGACCAGACGTGAAGACATAACCTGTCTGGTCCTGGGTGTGGCTGTCTGCTGTGAGGGTGGATCAGCAGATTTGGTAAATCTGGGTGTGGCAGTAGGTTGACGTCGGACAGCTGTCCGAGGTCGACGAACCAAGCCCTCGCTGGCCACTAGCGCGACCAAAGTCAGATTGAGGATCTGTGTCGTTATTTCAGATATTACATCGTGCACCATGTTTCCTGGCCTGCTGTGTTCTGCGTTTTTTACACACACACAGAGGGATTGTCTGAAAGCTGTGGGTGAAAGCAGTAAACAGTCTTTACATCAGTGACCCTGGAGGCATTGAGATGTACAATTAAGGCACAGGGGGTTGGGATCCCACGCTGACATATTACGCCGGCACTTTGAGCAGAAGGGCATGATTTCTGCAAAGAAGCAGTGTAAAATCACAATGCGTCCCCGCCCGATTATGTATTCTATAATTTGTTTATCCCACTGTATGGGTTTATGAAACAAATATCATGACAAACATAAGACAACAAACAACAAAACAAACAATACTTGCGGGGATACGCCAATCATGGGGTACCAAGCAAAAGAATATAGAACGCAAACTAGTTCACAAACTGCTGGCTACGCAAAATATTCAAGATGGATACTTGGAGCAACAAGACACCTGGCCTTATGTTTTCTTTTGAGAAAACGCCAGTAAGTGTCTTTTAACGTTTTGCACATGTTTATCAAACATAGAATGTACAAAATACCAACCGTAGGCACAACACATAGACAAAACAACATTAACTCAGATAGCTAACACGTGAGGGTTTGAATCAGTTTTATGTTACAGCAAAAAAAACAAAAAACAGGTCTTCTCTCATCAAGTGACTAGAGTAATATGAGGATCCGTGACGTCACTTCCTTTGGTCACGTCGGAGCTGCGTGATGGGCTGGCCTCTCAGCTAGTTGGAGCAACTTCTTCAAGCAAAGACCCTCACACAGCTCTTTTCTGTCAAGAAACAAGCAGTAATATGCATTAAGGAGTAATGCAGGATAAGTCAAAAATATATTGATAACAACGTCATCGAGTCCGCCGTTGGCTAGTCTATAAATATATGGTGGAAACCCAAATTCAGCAAGATTGGCTTAGGGAATGTAGGTAATAAATATTTATGTCACACAGTGGGTTAGAGTTGAAGTGAGTGAGTGAGTGAGTATGGTTTTACGCCGCTTTTAGCAGTATTCCAACAATATCACGGCGGGGGGCACCAGAAATGGGCTTCACACATTGTACCCATGTCGGGAATCGAACCCGGGTCTTCGACGTGACGAGCGAACGTTTTAACCACTAGGCTACCCGACCGCCCCGGTTAGAGTTGAAGGATGGATTGATAGTACTCCTTTTTGGCTATCGATGTTTCTTTTCGGAAGAGTAAGTATACTAACTATTGACATGCGTATTTATGATGGTCAATGTTTATGTTTAAATGTGATTGAGATTGGATTTATAAATCCATTGGTAAATACCACACCATCGTAATACCCGTCTCCACTATACTTATCCTACATTCTACCATGACATTGAAGAGTGAGTGAGTGAGTTGGGTTTAACTCCACTTTTAACAGTGTTCCAGTTATATTATTATGGTATGTTTATAGTTCTGTTCGGTTGAACAAAACCTTCCAAATGGCGTGCTGGTTTTCTTGGGGGAATTAGTATGCAAAGAGCCGGAGTCACAGGAGACTAATCACAACTTTATTTACAAGAACAATTAATAATGAGCAATTTACAATATCCTAGAAAATAGCTGAGGGTGCCACAGAGAGTCGGAACAACCCTCTGGGCTGTGGGAGAGAGATCTGCTTGGTATGAGCGTCAAACCCCTTCCTGCTTAACATTTGGTTTCTGTATGTATTTAACAAAAATTAGAACAATAAAATGGAATATGATTGGTTGATACACGATGGGCTGTGCCTTATGGTTAATGAATGGCTAGACAGAGGAGAATACTTAATCCTGTTGGACTGGCACTAATCTTGTTGACATATTTACTCGGTGCTTTGAAAGAGATTATGGTGTCACTATAACGAGCTTGTTTTGGGGCTAATCCTTAATGCAGTATAGACGAGCTTGTATGGGGGCTAATCCCTAATGAGTCTAAATTGAAGTAATTGCTGAATGTTATTCTAATATAGGTGATGACAGATTGACTTAAATAAAATAGTTCAAGGTAATCTATAAGACTATGTAGACATATCTTTTGTCTGGGATATGGGATCTTGATACCTTAGGCTAGCATCTATCTAAAAAGATATAACTGAAACTACTGATATTTTATATGTGCATTTTACTTGATGATAAGTAGTTCTTGTGTAACAGATTGACATTAATATACCTATAATAATATATGATCCATAATTATCCGTCAGGATACT